TTATATATGCAGTTGACCCAGTCACAGAAAAATCTTATATTCTGAAGTCCATTCTTTCTCCTTATAGCTTGAAATTACAACTAATGACAAAGTCGTTAGATGTTTAGTCTTAAATTTCTTCATCTGATGTAAAATTTATATAAAAATAGCATTGGTGTTAGAGAAATAGTGTAAATCTTCATTCCTGCAGGAAATGAATTTGAATTTTAAATAAGACCAGGGATTTGAATTGCAATGAGAAGAAGGCTAAATGATTTTCTAAAAAATATAAACCATATAGAACAGCCATGGTGTAAAAAATTAAAAGGCAGCTAGTTAAAGAGAAGGCCAGAGTAAATAGGGTTATTGAAGTTATATGTACTCATGGCATCCTCTATGGTTTAAATGATCCATGAAAAAGTGTTAGAGGCCTTGAGCTATGATTCAACAATGAAAAGTATGTCTTAATTATTTAATTTTCACATCCTTTATATGAAAAGAGATTATACCCTAATACGAAATATTTGATTTTAGATAAATCAAATGCTATCATGAGATGATGAAACTAAACCCTAAACTTGTGTCAATTGAAATAATCAATTTGAAATTTGGGGAAAAATGTATTTTTCTTTCAGGAGAAATTTACTGATAACCCAGGCCTTGGTTTTGCTGATCCTAGGATCATCTTTGCTGTTCATTCACCACAGAAAGTGTCACAGTTTGATGGTTTAGGCTTGTCCTCACCTGTAGGAATGAACGCTCGGGTAACAATTCGCCTAGTGAAGGTTAGCACGCATGAGAGGTAGACTGAGGGAGTTAGGTGGAGTAGTGAATGCACCAAATGCATAAATAATACTTTTCACTAGAAATTCCTTTCTCCCATGCCTTTAGAACACCACTGGAAAATCTAAAGTTTCAGTTCAGATTCTTTTCCTTTATCTGGATGCACATATGCATATTTAGCAAAAAATGGTGAACTCACATACACAGTATAAGTGAAAGCAGGGAAGCCTGTCGCATCCAAAGTAACTTTCAATTTCATTAGAAAAGGGAAGAGTCATTAAGTACGAGGAGACACCAAAGTTGCTGAACTATGCGTTTCCTCAATGGGACTATTTAGGAAGGAAAAAAATAAAATGGGAAGAGTAGGAATCTTGGAATCAGGTTGGTCTGGCAGGTTTCCACAGCCACTTGCTCAGTAATTTCCTTAATCAACTCCCTGAATTTAAATCTTCTCTTGCACATTTGGGGGAGAGGGTAATGTTTTCCTTTCATGGTTATTATGAATTTTAAGTGGAGTAATAACATAAAGAAAGCACTTACCATGTTGCCAGACAGATAATAGGAGCTCAATAAAGGATCTGTTTTTGTAATTTTGGTTACTGTTTTCTAAGTGAGCTGATTAATATTGTAACATAACATGTACATTAATAATATTTTTTCCTTATATGAGTTAATTGTTAGAATATTAGTCTGTCTGACTTTATTGATTAACATTTGGGCAACATGTTAAAGGATCACTAGTATACTTACCTACCGGGACTTTCAGGTTAATAGAGTAAGCAAATAGGCAAATGGAGTCGATTAAACAAAATCATTTAGTAGCTTCTCATTTATATGTAGCTTTAAAAAAAAAATTCTGTAGCATTTTTTTTCAAAACAATACTCTCAGGTGTTCTTTAAAAGTTAACTGGTAGGGCCGGCCTGGTGGCGCACTGGAGAGTGCGCCGCTTGGGAGTGCGGCGGCGCTCCCGCTGAGGGTTCAGATCCTATGTGGAAACCGGTTCCTGCTCACTGGCTGAGCGTGGTGCGGGCACAACACCGAGGGTTGCGATCCCATTGCCGGTCAGTAAAAAAAGACAAAAAGGAAAAAAAAAAAAAAAGTTAACTGGTAATGATTTGATTTATACCATAGCTCATTTAAGAGAACAATTACTTCAAATGGACAGATTAGACATGTATTTCTTTTAAAAAATAAACTGCTAGATATTTTGAAATCTGTTTTTCCTACCCAAAGTTAATTAACTAAAAGATTTATTCAGGAATCCCCATTCAAATTTGTATGATTTGATAAAAGAAAACACCAAAATATTTTTATAGTAAAAAAATGTTTATAAGAAAGGTCAAAGAGATCTGAGAGAAAAGCAAAATTATTTCTCAGACTCTCTGATGGAAAATAGGTGGATTAACTTAGGTACATCTCCTGAATCAGGTGTTCATTTTATCTTAAGACAGTTCATGAAGACTACCCTTGGAGAGAATGCAATGCTAACATCGAGCTGCAGAATTTTAGCAGCTACAGCACTTATGGCTGCTTGAAGGAAGGCAAAACCCAGCACATAGAAAAGCACTGTGGATGTTTGCCTTTTCCGCTTCCTGGCAAATAAAGAATGAGAACTTTCCCCTTACTTTAATCACTAAATATTCACTTAATTTGAACCATAGCCAATCAACATGTTAAATTGTTTTCCATTCTTATGAAATTCTAGTCTGGAAAATCATCCACTTGCCAAATACAACCTCAACTGACAATTTTAAATAATGGAATCATAACAGAAATTTCCTGAGAAGAAAATTGTGTTATCGGGATGGGTTCTCAATGCTTATTTCCAAAGGTTAAAATTGGGTGCTCTCAAATATCTAAAACTGCACATCAAGGTTTTCTCAATGTGGAAATTTCACTGTTGGGAAATTCTTTTCTTTGTGACTTTGACTGTACAGGAAACTTCAGGCCCCCTTTGTTTACAGTTCGAAACATTTCCAGAACCACTGCTATATGAGGCAAGTATTGAAGGAGGCAATAAAGCTGGAAGGGTTAAGAGCTGGATCTGACCCAGGCTGCTCATACCAGCTCCACAATTTTTCATCCAGGTTAAACCATTTAACCTCTCTGTACCTCCTGTAAAATGGACAGAATAATAGTGTCCTACTTTATAGGATTGCTGTAAGGATGAAATCAGTATGTAAGTGGTTCCAAAAGTGTCTGGCACTTTGGATATTTTTATTCAGGTGTCCTTCATCCCCTTCCACAGCTTATCTATAGAGAAATGTGCAGTGCCTTAAGGGCAAAATCAGTTTGGCTCTACAAGTTTGCCATTATGGGCCATCTCTCTCTCTCTCTCACACACGCACACACACACACACACACACACACACACACACACACACCCTTTCTTACTCTATCTTCTTTCCTTTCTGTTTCTCTTTCTGTCACATTCATACGCACATGCTCACAGATGTACTGATGCTACCTCTTTCCTTATAACAACACTATCTACTTGGCAAACTACTTCTGGGGATTTCCAGAATCATCTCTCTCTTCTTTCTGGAATCCAGATTATTGATCTCTGACCCCTCCAAAAACTACACTCTATAATATTACCAGCTCTGGATCTGATCTGTCATTCCCAATTATATTGGTGTATTAGTCACCAATATACATATACCAATTAGCCAACCCATATATTAGTATTGGTATACTAATATACCAATTAGTCACCAATAGTTTTGTTATACTATTGCTTACAACAAAATATACGGAACTGGGTAATTTATAAGAAAATGAAACTTGTTGCTTACAGTTTCAGAGGCTGGAAGTCCAAAGTCCAGGGAACATGTCTGATGAAGGCTTTCTTGGTGGTGACTTCAGTGACAGCAGGGTGTCGTATTGTGAAATGGCGGAGTGGAGAGACTAACCTCCTCATTCACTCTGTTTTTAAAGCCCTTAGAACCACGCCCCTGATCACCGTTATTAATCCATTCACTATGGAGCCTTGTGGTCCTACATCTAATCATTTCTTCAAGGCCCCACCTCTCAATTACCATAATAGGATTTCCCACCTTCAACAGTCACAGTGGGGATTAAGCCTCAGTGAGGTTGGGGGCATCTAATCTATAGCAATTGGCAAAGTTCCTAGAAAAAAGTCTGACTTGATTCATGCCAAATAATGTTTATAATTTAAAAATGTATTATTTCTTAGTAAACACAAACTGAATAACTAGTATGGGCCAGAAACTAGGCAGTGTGGACCTGAATATAAGTGTAAATTGTGGCTGAATTTAGGAAAATTTCATTAGTAAAACAAGTAAATTTTTAAAATTGTTCTGTTTTAACTTAACAAATTTTGAAATAAGAATTGTAGTAACATGTTTGCTTTATACAGAACCAATTTATTCCACTTAATGCAGCACTCATGTTCAATCATTTGGAAGCATTTCTGTAGTGTTTCATAATGCAGAAAATACTCATTTTTTTCTCTGATCTCCTTACCCTTCCTTATTAAAACCCAGATTTTATTATATAAATCTTCTTCTCCTAACACAAACATTCTGAAACTTAAGTCCTGGACAATTTCCCTATCACCATGAGGCACAGACCCAGTGAGACCCAAATTACTGAACAAGTCAGCTGCCTGAGAGAGAAGTTGAGTAAATATCACAATATTTTTGTGGGGGAGGAATTTATCTTCTCTCAAAAACACAGATGGATAATGCTTGAAAATGATCATTAATGTTGTGCTTGGGGAATTAAATGATATTATCAGTGTGCCTACAAATTAGAAGCATAATGGAGGACCAAAAGATTGAAATATTACTAAAATTTCTGAACTTCCAAGACAACTTTATTGTTCACATCACTTTGTCAACTGCTTTGTTATGTGTAGATATTAGTATACCCTCTGATTATCTAATGCAAACATAATACATTCTCCTGTTGCCCAGGATTAAACCAATGGAAATGAAGTAAACATATAAATGATGTATAGTGTATCAAGTATATTTGGAAATATTGATGATTTTGAAAATCATAAACAGTAAGGAGAGTGGTTTAATGCCATGTTTATTACATATATTAAAAAGCACCACATAATTCCAAGCAACTTTGCTAATAGGACTCATTCTTAATGACAATTACTGTTGCTACCTAAAAATCATGAGGTGGTTGGTTTCTATCTCAGCTTATAACACAGACAGGTTAATATTCATCCAGTCATTTATTGGTTTAATCTTTAATTCGTTCCCTTGCTTGTCCATTTTACAAATATATAATGAACACCTATTACATGTTAGGATTCAAGGTGTATTCTAGGTATTAGGGATACCTCAGTGTATGAAAGACAAAAAACTTTCCTTGTCATGCTTATTTCTCTGGAGTGGAGATGGACAATAAATATACAGTAACGTCAGATGGTGCTAAGTGTCGTGGGGGGAAAAGTAGCAGAAATGTTGTCTGAGGAAACCAGAGTCAGGGAGGACTGTTCTCAGGGTTGTGGATTATGATCAGGAAAGGCCTTCCTGAGAAGGTGACAGTTAAGCAAAGACCTAAAGCAGTAATTTTCAAAACTCCATGGAAGAGTTTTACTTAGGGTATATTGGAAAGTCTCAGCTGTAGGGAAAGTTGAGGCCGAGAGTGACATGACTTGGCAAGTTGCTGAAGCATATTGTGGCTATTGTGTGAAGAACAGAGCAGGTGTATTTGCTGAGGTGGGGTGCATTAAGGTTAGAAGCAAAACGACCAGTCAAAAAGCTATTGCTAAAATCCAGGTGAGGGATAATGTAGGCCTGGGAAAAGGAGATAGGACAAGTAGAATTTCCTGATGGATTGGCTATGGGCTATACAATTTTACATTATAAATGTGGGAAATATCAAAAGTTTGTTTTGAAAGATGTTACATTTGAAATAATTATTTGACATCTGAGTAGAAATATCAAGAGGCAATTGAATATATTATTGAAGTTCACCATAGAGGTCTGGGCTAGAGACAGAGAGAGGGTCTCCAAGACAACATAAAGAGCTACCATTTTAAAATAGTGTTTAGCCACTCTGATGACATATAAAGATTTCTAGAAGACATCAAGAAAACAGGATTTTTGCCCAAGCATATTAACCATGTAAATAACTAATATTTATTGAACACCCTGTATATGCCAGTTTCTGGCCAATTCTTTACATACATTTTTAGATTTCTCCTTATAACAGCTCTGTGAATCCTGACTATGAATGAGGAAACCAAGACCAAGGAAAACAATGTGATTTCTCTAGGGCCACATAAGTAACAAAGGACAGAACCAGAATCAAACTTAAAATTAAACACACTTCTAAATGCTTGTAAATATTTTAGTCTACTTGGTAGATATTTACATTTAATGTCTTTTTCTCAGAAATGAGGCATGGAAAAATTATTGGAGCTGTGGAAAAATTATTTTTCCTAAATATTAGCATGACAGGAGTGCCTTCCAAATGATGTTAATTGTGATTAATATTGAATATGTTGCTGTGTCTAATTCGACACTAAACAACATTTTAACCAGAAATGAATATTAATTTTGTCAGATGGGAATTGAAAGTCATGCTGACAATCTTGAGCTACATTAACTATTTTTATCCCTAGAGAGAATCTTGCAAACATTGAAATAAAGTAGTACCGTGACTTAAATTATAAAATAACACAGCAAAAAAAGCAGGGAGTGTGTCCTACTTACTTGGTAAGTGTTGTTTAGTTGTTCCTCAATTTTCTTTTGTTTTTTATGTTTTTTATTTATTTTTTCCTTTCGTATTTAGGGTTTAGCTCATCAATAGAGGGAAAGAATCCATAGTACTTGTCATTCAGCCACTGTTTACGTCTGAACCTTTTCACTCCCTAGAAAACACTGCTGGTGAACCTCACAGAGGCTTTGGCAAAGAGAAAGCTGGTGTTCATCATGTCACACTCATGCTCACGTCACACTTCCCCTGCAGACTGTTCCCCTCGTCAAGTGACTGCTGGAATGTTCCAGCAATCTGAATCTGGGTGGAATTTTAGTAAATCACGTCCTACCTCCACACAGTACTCCACTTCAGGGTGGGTTAAAAAGAAGAACCTGAGTAAGCAAAATCAAGCTTTTAGTTTACAACCACTGTCTGCTCTGATCAAATAGTCCTGTTCATCAAACAGTCCTTAACAAACTTAACTGCTGATTTCCTAGATCTTGCTGCATGTTAGAGAAAGCCATGCCAGAAGAGGGCATTCAAGTCAGGCAAAAGGACAGCAGTCAGACATAGCATCTGAGACCCTGAGTAGGGAGGAAATATGCAAATTACCCAAAGTTCTTGGAGAAGCCTACACGTCATTACCACACTTTACAAAAATAGCATGCTCCTAAGAAGGGGCAATGAGATAAAGATTAATAGTGCAATCTGTTTAAGAAGGCAGAGCTAGAATAGTCAAATTCAGAGTAGAAAGTAGAATGGTGATTGCCAAGAGCTGGGGGAGAAGGGAGATGGAGAGTTAGTGTTTAACGGGTACCAAGATTCAGTTGGGGAAGATGAAAAACTTCTGGAAATGGATGGAGATGCTGTTTGCATAACAATGAACGTGTGCTTAATGCCACGGTACACTTAAAAATGCTTAAAATCGTAAGTTTTATGTTACATATATATTTTACCACAATAAAAAAGCACAAACGATAGAGATAAATATAGACTTTAAAAACATCAAAAAAAGCAGTGTTGTTATAATATATTTTGTTTAAATTAAATATTATAAATGCATAAAGAAAATATAGATTGGACACAAAGCCACAAATTGCTTGGAAATTAAATTTCTGGAAAACATCATCATCCAGTAATGCCATCTGGATGTCACATTTCTGCTCTTCGTTTAACACATGGAAATGAAGTTGTAATTATCTAGTATCTTTTATGAATTTCGAATCCTCCAAAGTCTTTCAGTTATTTATATTTTTGGAAACAGATATAATGCTTGCTTTTTCTCTCTGCCTTTTGAGATGATTTGTATGAATATTATGATAAGATATTACTAATTGTTATTACTCTATTCCAAATTTTAAAATAATTCAGCTAGCCCATACTTATATAACATCAGGTATGATTAACTTATTAGATCAAATAATTTAACTTCTAATAATGTTTAATTTGCTTTTTATGGAAAAAACAATGACATTCAATTT